AAAAAAAAAAAAAGAAAAGAAAAGAAAACTTTAAAAAGGTGCTAATATCTTAAGTCATTAAGGCAGAAAAAACATTTTCGCTATCTTTCAGTTTGCGAACTGGAGCATAATAGTCTACTTAAAAATTCTATTATTTTCTATAGACTCATTCCTTTACAGATGATTCAGGTATAACATGCAACATTATATGCTCATATTTATTTTCATCTGCAAATAAGCATTATAAAACGTTAAGAAGTCAAAATATGAAAATAATTAAAGTCATTATTTACAGTTCTGTCTATCCAGTAGATGGCCCAATATATAGAAGTGGAACACGTGGTAAGTTGTTGCAAGAACTGCATTATGAATATGAAAAATAAATTAAAATAAACAGGTTATAGAAAGGATCATGCATGAGATATTATAAAACCTTACTGGCAAATCTCTTTATACACTATACAAGAGGGTGTTGTTTTCTGTTTCAATGAAGTACTCACCATCTTCTGTGGGCACATAGATGTTTAAGTAAAGGCAGTCTTCATTTTGATCTTGAACATAGGTCATCAATGTATCCAAATTGGCAGTAAACCAGATGGGCAGCATGTCATGCAGTAAGGATCTCTCATCCAGGTACTGGGGGCACACAGCAGCAAACTGAGTTGCATTTCGGATGCCAGTCCAGGAGGATGGGGGCTCTGGGGGCTGAAACCGCCTCTCTCCAGTGGGGGGTGAGGCATAGGGGACCCCTAAGTACTGTTCCACTGGACCCAAGATCTCATTGGGTAATGGTGTTCTTAGGCCCCGTACTTTGCCATAATTTGTGTTCACAACTGGATACTGTGCTTGGCTGTCAATGAGGGTGAACTTGATGACAAGAGCAGTTATCCATAGGAGGACATTGGAGTTTAACATGACACAGACCGGTGTAAATAACAAAGGAAGCCATAGCAGTCCCTGGGGCCGTGACATGGTTCAAATCCACATCCACATCCGCAGGTGTCCCAGTGATGTGGCTCCAAGGAGACAATGTCCAGAGGTGAGCCTGCAGAGAGAGAGGGCTTTCCAGGAAGAAGATAATCTTGGAGAGAGTCTCAGATTGATCATAGACAGAGCCCGAAGTTAAGAACAAGCACAGCAGGTTTCCTGGCAGCCCTTTACCAGGGAGCAGTCCTCCCTTAATCCTGAAACTGGATTCCAGCAAGTACAATGCTCCAAGGAAGCTGTGACCATCCAAGACCTCTAGAAAGCTCCAAGGCAGCCTAAAAAAGGTAGAAAGTAGACAAGAATTCTGAAGCCACACAACAATCACCTTGAACACGTCATGGCTTTTCCATGCAATCCACATCTCTCTATGAAATTCCTATTCATTTGTTTAGAAATGTGTATAGTGCCATCTCCACATAGTAGACAATAGGAAGAACAATACTTGTCTTCTTTTTTTTTTTCAGAGATGGTGGATTGCTATATTGCCCAAGTTGCGGTGCAGTAATGCTATCATAACTCACTGCAGCCTCCAACTCCTGGACTCAAAGCATCCTCCCACCTGAGCCTCTTGAGTAGCTGGGGCTGCACACATGCACCACTATGTCTAGCTAATTCATTGGATTTTTTCTAGACATGGGTCTCCAGATGTTTTCCAGGCTGGCCTGAAGGGATCCTCCTTGATCAACCTTTCAAAGTGTTAAGGTTGCAGGCGTGAGTCACCACGTGTAGTGGCCACCACTTAATTCCTGCTATACATCCTATCACCATGAACAGTGACTGACATTTAGAAAACACTCAACAAGTGTTTGCTGAATAAACAGATGTCCAAGAGTTATACAGGTTAGGTAGATAATAGTAAGGATGCATACCAATTTTACTATTGTTTCCCATACTGGTTATCACTACATAGGTACTCCCAAAACATTGTTTCTCAAATGTTTAAGGAAATTGTCACTTTTTATTAAGGGGACATGCATGGAGCTCTAAAAGTTTTCCAGTGTGAGGAAAATAGAAGCATGTATCCAGGTCAGTCTGGCATCATGATGTGGATATTTATCAGGTCACAAAGGGAACATCATCAAACGAAAAGAGTGTAGAGTTTGGACAGGAATTCTCTTTGGTCTAGTCAAGTGCATGTGTACTTAAGCTATATACTTCACTGCTCTGAATCTCAGTTTCCTTGTAAAAAAAACTATACAAGATGGTCCATTTGAAGTACATGCTGTAGTGCTAGTCTCTTGAAGGCTTCATTCATAATTAAAAGTGTTGATGCAATTATCCTGACTCTCCAGTAAGACACTGCATGCCTTAGAGGGTATCCTCTTCACCCTGCAGCCCATTTAAAAAGCTGAGACTACATTTGAGTTACTATCCCATTGAGCCTGGAGTCAACTTTTAAAGGGCTGCCACCTCAGTTTGTCTCAACATGGATAATATGACTATTCCTACATAAATTGCTGCTCCTGTGACAATAAAAGAATGCTGCACAGCAGTGGACAGTATGTTAAATGATCCTCCAGGGACGGAAAACATTTCACTAGGTGTTGCAAGGAGGGTGCCTTTAGAGTGTTCTTCAACTCAAAATACACAAATGTGTTTCTGAGGAATATGAGTGTTATTCATGGCATTTGCATAAGAAAATAATTATCCATTTCATTTGTCAGTTGAACAGAATACATCACATGGCTTTTTTTTTTTAATAAAACATATTGGAGCTGGCTCTATCACAGAACAGTAATACCATTGGCGGAAATTCCATAGTACATAACATCTTGGGAAAAGTTCACCAGAGTTGGATGAAAATGCACTGAAAACCTGGACTCTAATTTTGAAAGTGACAAATAGCATCTCACCAAATGGCTGATTTATGTGTTTGCTTCTATCTCTGAATTCTATTGTAGACAACATTTGGATGTCTGTCATACAGCAATCCCATTTCTGAATAATTAAGAGACAGACAAGAAAAACAAAGAGGTGATGTCGTGTTTGGATGCTTCGGTCTTCCTTAAAGCTTTTTAACTAGTGGTAGCTGTTACTTCCAGAGCCCTTCTCAAGGCAATCGATGAGACCAACAATGTTTAACTTTTATTTTGGGTTCAGGGGTACACGTACAGGTTTATTATAAAGGTAAACTTGCGTCACAGGGGTTACTTCTACTGATTATTTCATCACCCAGGCCTAGTACCCAATAGATATTTTTCCTAATCCTCTCCCTCCTCCCACTCCCCACCCTCCAGTAGGCTCCAGTGTCTGTTGTTTCCTTCATTGTATTCATGAATTCTCATCTTTAGCTCCCACTTATAAGTGAGAACATGCAGTATTTGATTTTCTGTTTCTGCATTAATTTGCTAAGGATAATGGTCTCCAGTTCTATCCATGTTCCTGCAAATAACATAATCTTGTTCTTTTTATCACTACATAGTATTCCATGGTGTATATGTACCACATTTTCCTTATCCAGTCTGGCACTAATGGGCATAGGTTGATTCCATGACTTTGCTCTTGTGAACAGTGAGGCCATCAACTTATAATTCAGATGAACCTGAGTCCTGTGCTGCTACCTCTGTGAGCTGAGGGAAGCAAATCAACCTCTGCAGACTGCAAAAAGGTAAAACAGTGTGTCCCACCTGCTTCATGGAGCTGTGCAGAGCAGGAAGGGTGCCTAGATAGGCAAAGGCTGAAGAGCACAGAAGATGCCTAATCAATATATACAACACGCTGCAATGTTCAACACAGACCTGCCCAAAAAATTCCTGGGTACTATCAGCTCACTGTTAGTGCTGAGTAGGCTGACAGCAGGTCATTCAAATTCTTTAGGCCTCACTTTACCAATCTACTATTTGGGATTTTACATGCTATCTTATTTAGTCGCATGTAGCTGTAAAGTATTTGGTATCACATACTATCTCATTTAATCCCAAGTATGTAAAGGCTACTTGGGACTAAATGAGATAGTATGTATCCTCAAGTTATTGCACAGTCCCTGAAACACAGAGCTTAATAAATGTGGAATTTAGTGGGTGGATTTCTTCCAAGGTTTATAAAGTTAGTTCTATGAGGAATTCCAGCCCATGCCTTAAATTCTTAAACTCAATGTGAATGAGACTATGAGTCACATATTGGTTATGACTGACCCAGCTGATGATCAAATCCCTACTCTGTCTAAGTTGACATTCCACAAGGTCCTGATGGGCAGTGAATGATTATGAAGGAGCAGCCACCTAAGAAGATGGGCCCAAGGGCATCTGTGCACTTACTAAGTCTAGGCTGGGCATTCACAATATTAACAGGTTGACAGCTATCATTTTTACTCCCTCATTTTTTGAAATTTGGCTAATTTGCACAGAATTACTATAATTCAAAGCCCAGCATTTCCCTATCACAGTACAAATGACATTGTAAACCATATAATTCTTTGTTGTGGGGGCATCGCCTGTACAACGTACAGTATTTTGCAGCATCCCTCGTCTCTACTCTACTCAATAGATGATAGTGGCACCTCCTCCTACCCAGTTTTAACCATGGAAAATGTCTCTAGATAGTACTGAATGATCCCCAGGGGCCAAAACCAACCCCAAGTAAGAATTACTGGTCTAAGCCATGAAGTATAAAATTATAGTGGCTGTGTAAATGATTAAGTATCTGTAGGTACATTAAGAGAATATGATTAGTGCTGTCGTGTGTGTGTGTGTGTGTGTGTGTGTGTGAAAATATAGTCATATTCAAAAAATTGGCAACTTGTAAATGTTTAGCATTATAAGAAATAATGATATTGAAGATATCAATATTTCTTACTGATATCAATTAAATGTATATTATCATCATTAAATAATCACTATAAATTTAACCAGCTTATATATCCTTGTGGGCATAAAAATAAAAGATCTCCCATATGAGTTTCAAAAACTGAAAAGGATTTCACAAAGGGTGAAACGTGGCTATTAATAGTTATTAATAAATAGGTAGATAGATTTTTAATATTCCTAAGATAAAGAGGGTATACTACAAAATGAATTCTAAAAGTTTTAATAGACAAAAATTTTTAACAAAAAAGGTGAAAACTAACTTTATTGAATATATACTTGCATTTTGGGAACGAAAAAGGGCTATATAGCATGGATTCTCTGCAAAGACTGCGTAAAATAATAATATCTCAGAATGGCATTTTGACTAATTTATAACTTGATTGGGTATTTTAAATAATTCTCTGCAGGGCAGTTATTCTGACTCAGGTTGCAATTAAGGCAAGGCTCACACTATTCAGGCCTATCATAATTTAAAGTTTCAGAATAAAAACTGTAATACATTTCTCCCCAAAGTATGCATTCCTCAAATTGAGACTGGTTTAATTTTAAGATATATAAGGTGAGCCCTTATCACAGACATTTTGGTATTTGGACCTTATAATGAATAAAATCACATCTCCTGGGTGTTTATGGCCTTGTCTTTCAAAGGCCTTGGAATATATTAGAAAACAGGAAGCTCTGTAAATGCATTTAAAAAAAAAACGGTCAACTGAGACAGAGTACCCTTTCCCTGTGTCTTACTTCCAGCCACGCTGAAGGTCTGGGCCCACTGAGATGTCTGCTGCCAAGAGGTTTCTGAGAACAAGAAGCACTTGAGACATCCACTTCCATCTCATCATTGTGAAGCATCCAGAAAACAAAAGCAACAGAATCTGATCCTTGCCCAAATTACTGAGCTTGCACAACTATCCTTCCATACTGTTCACTAAGAAAGTCTAGACTAGCTATTCCCAAAACTCTGCACAAGCTACAGACATCTCTGGCTTCCCTTTTCTTTTGTGTCTAGTGGAGACAACATTTTAGGGTGCCTGAGTGGGATGTGGCTTATCTTTTGTTCCGAAGCACAAAGCTCTATGCTATTACCGACACTAACAACCACCCTCCACAAATACATACACCTATTATGTACCTGTAAAAATAAAATATGCTTTCCAACACCATATAACCTATATTAGCAGGCTATAAAAATGCCACCAGATATTTCTTTACTTGAATTGTACATAAGGATTTGAAATGAGTATTTACTTCTTCCCAGAATTCTCTGTACTAATTGTACTGTATAAATAATCTTCTTCCTTCTCCTCATATGTAAGTGGAGCTACTTCATAAGATTTTGTACTTGAACTTATTATGTATGAAATCATATATATAAAATATTATTTTTGAGTGGGAGTCTCACTCTGTCGCCCAGGCTGGAGTGTAGTGGCGAGATCTTGGCTCACTACAACCTCCATCTCCCGGATT